AACAAAATGACTCTAGATAGCTAAAAGTTATCTGGATCCATCACATAAGAAGTAAAACACTGCTACTGATATCCTGCTCTTGACTTCACAGTTTGATAATGAACCTTGAACTTGACAAAAATGCAGTATGGATAAAGCATATTTTGCACAAATGCCTTACCTCTAAAGGTAAACAAATGTGAATGAACTTTAGAATGTCAAAATCTGATAATGGATTTGACAGAGTCAGTGATAGAGGTACTGATTAACTGGCTAGGAATAATATTGCGTATTTGAGCAAAATATCATCCACCTTCTGGATGAGCGGATTGCTTCTGGATATTTGTAATTTGGCTGTGTGGCACTCACTATTGATGTCCTGCATCATCTGGATGAGTGAATTGCTGATGGTCACTTGTAATTTGGCCATGTTACATACTATTAATATCCTACATAATCTGGACGAGCATATACTGCTGGTTACTTCCATGTACTAGTACATCGTGCCAAAATAATTGGACTGGTGATAGCATCATGCCAAGATGATTGGAGACATGACTGGTTACATTTCTCAGGTTTTGCTTTAACTGTTACTTTGTGAGTCTTACATTTCCGTGGTGGGGTGGGGACTGGGGGATATGGATAAAGAAGATTAGAAGTTCTATTTGTGATAGGATCAACTATTCTGTACTTATTGAACTCATGCATCAAAATATTGTTATCGCCCTTATGTTATTGGAAAGTTAATTTATTTCCTTCCTTCTCACTCTTCTTTACTTTCAATGCTTCTAGTTGGGAAACAATCCTAAAAGTTTAAGTGTATCTTTTTCTGATAAGCAGGAGACACCAGCTATCCTGGTTGAGTCAATTGAGGAAGCAAGCACCACTGAGACCTTAAATGTTTCAGAAATCCATGACCTTGATGATGGAATTCCTATTATCAGCTCCCCACGTACTCCCAACTCTATTTCCAATCTGCATGAGGTTGTTGAGGCCCCAAGAGGTGCTAGTCTATCAGGTCTTAAGAACATGATCCTCGAGGAAAATGATAACCAGATCAAAGTATTGGAGAACTATGTATTGCCACCAGAAGCAGCTGATTTTCAGCATGATGAGCTATATATAGTTGAAGAAACAGATGGTATTGAGGACATTGATGAGGCATTTCTCTATGAATTAGATACAGTTGGTGACTTTAGCATCAACGAGCTGGGATCATGCCAGAATGAGTTCGAGAGACGAATCGACTCCACTGGAGAGGGTTTGTCTGCATTCCACATTGTTGATTCTGGCACTCCAGAAGTTGCTGAAGATGCCTTTGCTGAAGTTCATGAAAGAAAGTTTCCATTGCACCCTGATATTTTAAATGCATCCACATTTGAAGAGATTGGTAAGCATGAAGAAAAGGCGTGTGCTTCAGAAATTCAAAAATCTGGAATGAGCATTATTGATCATCTTGATGTATCTCATACAGATTTTACTGAAGGAGAAGTTCATAATGCTGTTGATGCTAGATCAATTGAAGGACTCCCTGTGGATAGTGATATTGGGCCGTCAGATCCCATGACAAAACTTAATTTGGATGCTCAAGAGATAGTTCCGGAAATGACTATAGCTGAAGCTCAAAACTCTGTCTTTGAGATGGCAAATGCAGAATCTGCTCAAACTGGAGTAACTGAAGTGCCTCAAGAAGTTATAGTCAGAGAGGAAACTGATTCTGGTATGCCAGTACTAGAAGCACAAACAATTCAAGATATTGAGTCAGCGTTTTGGCAAGTTTATGAGAAAGAAATGGAGAAATCTAATGTTTTTGAGCTATATAATGCTGAATATTCTGGAATGCCAGTGTTGGAAGCACAAACTGTTGAAGATATTGAGTTAGCATTTAGAGGTACTTCTGAGAATGAAACATTGAACTCGAATGTGTATGAGCTACCTAATGCTAAACTAGTAACTGAAAAATCTGGGAGTTCTGACAATTCAGCGGTGTTTGAAATATCAAGCCAAGTACTGAACGATTCTGGAATGCCAGAGGTGGAAGCACACACAATTGAAGAGATTGAGTCAGCATTTGGAATTAGTTCTGAGAAAGAAAAAGAGCATTTGAATGTGGTTGAGCTACCTAATGCTAAGCTTGTAACTGAAGAATCTAGAGATTCTGATGATGCTGTGGTGTTTGAAGTGTCAAGTTCGGTGAAGGAAGATTCTGAAATGCCAGTGGTGGAAGCACAAACAATTGAAGACATTGAGTCAGCATTTAGAATTAGTTCTGAGAAAGAAATAGTGCATTCGAATGTGGTTGAGCTACGTAATGCTACGCTACCTGATGCTAAGCTTGTAACTGAAGAATCTGGGGATTCTGACGATGCAGCGGTGTTTGACGTGTCAAGTTCAATACAGGAAGATTCTGAAATGCCAGTGGTGGAAGCACAAACAATTGAAGATATTGAGTCTGCATTTAGAATTAGTTCTGAGAAACAAATAGTGCATTCGAATGTACTTGAGATACCTAATGCTAAGCTTGTAACTGAAGAATCTGTGGATTCTGACGATGAAGTGGTGTTTGATGTTTCAAGTTCAGTACAGGAAGATTCTGGAATGCCAGTGGTGGAAGCACAAAATATTGAAGATATTGAGTCTGCATTGAGAATTAGTTCTGACGAAGAAATAGTTCATTCGAATGTGCTTGAGCTGCCTAATGCTAAGCTTGTAACTGAAGAATCCGTTAATTCTGACGATGAAGTGGTGTTTAATGTGTCAAGTTCAGTACAGGAAGATTCTGGAATGCCAGTATTGGAAGCACAAACAGCTGAAGATATTAACTTGACATTTCGGCAAATAGGTGAGAAATCGAATGTTCTTGAGCAACGTTTGGCTGAGCTAGCAACTGAAGAATCTGGGGATTTTGACAACGGAGCGGTATTTGACATGTCAAGTTCAGTACAGGCAGATTCTGGAATGCCAGTACTGGAAGCACAAACAGCTGAAGACATCACTTTAGCATTTAGGCAAATATCTGAGCAAGAAATTGAGAAATCGAATGTTCTTGAGCAACCTCATGCTAAGCTTGAAACAGAAGAATCTGGTGATTTTGACAATGCAGCAATCTTTGATGTGTCAAGTACAGTACACGAAGATTCAGGAATGCCAGTACTGGAAGCACAAACAGTTGAAGATATTAACTTTGCATTTAGGCAAATATCTGAGCAAGAAATAGCTGAGAAATCAAATGTTCTTGAGCAATCTAATGCTGAGCTAACAACTGAAGAACCTGGGAATTCTGTCAATGCATCAGGTTCAGTGTTGGAAGATCCTCAAATGCCAATAGTGGAAGCACAAACAGCTGAAGATATTAATCTAGCATTTAGGCAAATATCTGAGCAAGAAATAGATGAGAAATCAAATGTTCTTGAGCAATCTAATGCTGAGCTAGCAACCGAAGAATCTGGGAACGTTGCAGCTGCAGCTGAAGTGTCAAGTTCAGCGCTGGAAGATTCTGAAATGCCAGTGCCAGAAGCAGAAACATTTGAAGATATTGACATGATATTTAGGAGAATATCTGAGAAAGAAATGAAGATATCTAATGTTCTTGAGCAACCTCATGCTGAGGTAGCAACTGAAGTATCTGGGAGTTCTGACAACACAGCGGTGCTCGAAGCGTCAAGCGTGACACGCAATATGCAATTACCAATTCTTGAAACAAGACCTACTGAATATTTTGATTTGGATCATGAAAAACTTTCTGAGAGTGATGATGAGACACACATCCGTCATGATTCTGTTGGTGGTGATGAGCGTCCTGGGGAATCGGAAGATGTAGGAGCTTCTTCAGATTCACAAAATGTCGAAGCAGACTTGGCTTTGAAACAAGTCTTGGAAGGAAATCTGGAGAAACCCCTGAACTACACTTCTGAAGGTGAGTCAGCACAAGCGAAGCCAAGTGAAGCAGGCTCATCCAATGATATGGAATCAAGTGTTAGAGGATCTGATTTACCTGATTCTGGTGAAGCTGAAACTGAAAAAGGTGATCATGAAGCTGTACTAAAAGAAGCAAAGACACCAATAGCTGAAAAACCAGATCATGCTGTTGATATGCCTGCTACATCTGATGTTAAAGGCAAGAAGGACAAATCCCACGAGACGGGATCAAGTTCAAGCTCAAGCTCAAGCTCTGATTCAAGTTCAAGCGACTCCGACAAAGAATGAAGATGCTCTAGATGATTGACTGACAAAGGAGTTAAAGGTGGTTCACAATTTTGTGTTTATTGCATTAGTAGTTTGGGTTATTGCATGGTTTGGAGTGGCTTGTGAAATGATGGACTCCTCCAAGAAAGAGTTTTGGTTTGATTTCTTGAAGCATTCTTTTCTTCTTATATTTTTTTATCATCTTTTCAGCATTTTTTTGGAGATTGTTGGAAGAAAAGGTTTTGTTAAACTTGTATATGGAGTTTGTAATTTTTTTGTATGAAGCAGTTTATGTTGGACTGTTATCCTGAAAGTAATGGCAAGCAAGACTCATTGCCTTTCTTTTTGCTGTTTTCTTCACTTCTTTAGATCTTTTAACTCGTTTGATTTGCGAACTAAGTTATACAGGGAATTTAACATAATAAAGATTAGTAATCATTGCATTATTAAGTGCATGTACTTTATTGGCGGATATTTGGTTCACCACATTAAAAATGAGATATACCATGTATAATCTTTCCTTAATTGTGTTTTAAGTGATACATTTTCTTTATTAAAATTCATTTAATCTTAGCTTTCATTTTACACTTAATGACATGACTTACTAGAAGTTTGGACTGACTTGATATAAAAATTTATTTTTTATGAGAAAATGTGGATAAACAAGTAGAACTTTCACCTTCACTCTTTTAAAAGAATAAAAATTTTGATATTTATAATTGACTTGCATGTTAAAAGTCGTCTTTAATTTTTTTCAAAATTGTGTTCAATCAAACACCTTCTGTGTTATTGTTCCATTCATATTTATAGCATTGTAACACAAGTAAAAATAGGCATTTTTAATCCCACTGAACCATTTCACTAGACATTAAAATATGAAATACATCAACAGTTGGTAGCAGTATAGAGATTGTTTTACACACATACCTTAACTCAGTAATAACCTACATACACCATATTTTTGCTTAGAGTTACAACTTTGGACACACTGTAAGTACACCAATAAACAAGGTTCAGGGGAATTTGTTAAACGTCCACTAAAGTGGCGCTTCTTCTGAAGCTATTCATCAAGCTTCTAAGAGCAGTTGGTGTCGTAGGTAGCGAGTCCCAACAACTCCGGACCTTCAAGTCGAGGATTGTGCTCGAAACTGCAAATTAGAAGTTCAGGAAACTTATTAGAAACATCCAACTAGGATACTGTATCTTTTTAAAGGAATCATCAGTAAGAGATGACTGCAGAGTCGAGAAATCAAGAAGAATGATATGGTGTAAGGACTATACATAGCACAAGCCCCCGGGACTTGGTTAAAGTGGCAAAGGTTGATGGACTTGTGTCAAAAGATCAATCTCTGCACCATGCAAACTAAACCAGGTACTTAAGTGGAGAGTCGTTAAGAGGCGTTTGGTCCTAATAGTTAGCCCCAGATGAATTTCTTGTTCATAGTGCAAAAGCTAAGCAGGTAAGACCACATATGACACATGTGCACCACCAGGAACACGTAGTCTCTTTGACTATATTCGAAAGCACAATTGCTTATCTGCTTGTCTGGCTTTATTTTTTTATTTAAATACACACCCTTTCCAAAATAACAAAAGAATATAATATGAGTACATGTCGAAACAAGGGAATTTAAGGAGCTAAAGGAATAAACAAAAAGTGAAAAGGTAACTATGACGCGTCTCAATTGATTTATGTTGCACATATAATTAGCATATCCAGAGGAACAAAATCCAAATACAGTTGGCTTCCTTTCGGTTTGAAGTAAATGGAGTCAATGGTATCTCGTCTATAGCCTGAATTAATACCACCCACAATTCTAATTGAGATAACTCGAAATCTAGAACTCATTGGTGTTTTTTGTATATCACTCTCTTTAAATTGTTATTTAAGGCTTCTCTACTTATCAATGAACTGTAATCTGAAATAAGAGGTCACATATCCAAATCCTTTCCAAATAGTTGTCTTATTTCAAAGCAAAATTTACAAGTTATTGTAGAAATTTGAATCTTCTTCAAGTAAGTTTCTTCTTTTAAAACAAAAGTTAGAAGTCATTGCTTCTGGTATAACTTGCCTATTATGAAGCCCAAATTTAACTTAGATAAAGATAAATCAAGATACTAGGTTTTTTAAAAAGGAATACCTTTTTTGATTGGTTTTCTTTTTTTAAAGGTGAACTTGATAGAATTAAGCATACAGAGACATGATTACTCTTTGCACCATTGCTCAAAACTTTAACAGTTCAACTCTGACAACGATACTTGTAGGGTATACAAGGAAATCTTACTTGTTTAGAGGAATATGCTCAAATGGACCAGAAGTAGGAATTGTTCCACACAAATCATTATTCGAGACATCCCTGGAAGAAAGAGAGCAGAATTTAAAATCTATTCCGCAGAAGAATTCACGATAATATCACAAGCAAAGAAATTATACTTACACAACTTTCAGGCTAGAAATGCTAGTAAGTTCTCTTGGGATTGGTCCTGTTAGCTTGTTATCATTTAGACGCCTGATAGATCAGATAAGAAACTTTCAATCAACATAAGAGTATTATGCTATAACCCATTCACTACAAGCAAGTGATACTGAATATTAAGGTCAAAGAAGAAAAGGGAACTCTGTGAGTAGTGCAAGTAACAGAATATTTGCTTTCTTTTTCGTCCCCCTCTTATGTAAAACATACACATGACTGGAACCAAATAGGGAAACATCACAAAGGAGAACTTACAAGAAAACAAGGTTTTTCAGGTTTCCAAGTGAAGTAGGAATTGTCCCCGAAATATTGTTGTTGTACAGATCCAGACTAATAAGGCTCTTCAAGTTACCGAGCTCCTTAGGGATGGTTCCCTGAATATTATTTTTGTAAAGCTCCCTGAAGCAAACAAACAATTACCTCATGGATATGACTCCTTATAAACAAATAAAGTTATTGACTATAAAAGTATAAATGGCAAGTCAATTCAAGATTTCAAATAATTACTCACAGATACTGTAGATGTTCAAGCTTTCCGAGCTCAGGTACCAAATGACCAGATAACTTTGAGTTCCCAAGATCCCTGGAGAAACATTAAAACCCAGAGACATTTCAGACTGGTAATAATTACGATGAAAAAATAAAGCAAACTACAACTGTGTTCCTCTTCTGAGTTGCACCACCTTTTGGGAGAATTATTGGGTGTCAGTTTATGTATAAATCAGTAGAGAATAAGTTCATGTGAGCAAACATGAAATTTATTCTAGGCGAGACAAGTCCATTTCAGAAAAACATGTTTGTTGGTTATAGTTACTATTCCTTTCAGGATAGATGCAAGCATATAACAATTTCCGGTTTGGAAATTGATGTGATTCTCCGTACACGTGGAATGTCCGGCCAGTACCTCATGTTTTTAAATATGTAAAAGACATCACGGTAGCGAAAATATAGCAAGGAGTGTTGTCAAAAGTGCACTTGAAGTGCGCTTAAGCCCTGAAGCGAAGCTCAAAAGGTGTTGAGCGCTTCCCTCTCTTAATGTGCGTTCAGTGCCGTCATGAAGGTTATAATGCCAATGAGTCTCTTCTAAAGAGGTGATACTAAAAAATTGATATTTATTGTCATTCTTTTTCGATTTCTTTCTTCATAGATTTTTCGTTCATGCTTATAACTATTAGTCTTAGACCGAACATACATATTTATATTTTTTGTCTCCCTTCGCGCACTTCTCATTAATGTCCACACTTTATTTGCGTTTTGCGCTTAAAGCCCCAACAGATCATAGAGCTTTTTTTGCTTTTGGTAACACTAATAGTCTTGCATTTCAATAAATTAGCCTGTGTCTCATTCAAATTTCACAAATCATCTGTTATGTATCAACTATCAACCAATCAACATAAAAATCTACCCAGTAACATCAGTCATCAGGTGTTCCAAGATCACATAAGATACAGGAAATGGAACTCTAAGACATTCAAAATTCATAAGCATCCAAATTTTGCCAATGAAATGATAAATTTGATTTTATAAAAAAAAATAAAAAAATTAGCAAATGACCATGCTTGCTCGAAAATTTCAAAAGAAAAACAGTAAAGCCGTACATATAGATTATCACCACCAACTAATTTTAACGTACTTTGGCGCTTTGCCACACTTCAAAACGGGCATAATCCCCTAAAAATTTACAAAAGGTGCTGACACGTGAGATCAGAAACATAACAAGGCAAAGATCATTAATGAATCACACGTCTCCATATTTAGCACATAGATCATCGATACACATCACGACAGGAACTTCGAGTAAGTTAAACAAAAGTAATAGACTCAAAAGGTGCAACCACGTGAGATCAGAAACATAACAAGGAAAAAGATCATTAATGAACCACACGTCTCTATCTTTAGCACATAGATCATCGATACACATAACGACAGGAACTTCGAGTAAGTTAAACAAAAGTAATACACACACTCTTCATCTAGGATCACCACCAACTAAATTTGAAGTACAAGGCTTTGCCACACTTTAAAACTGGCAAAATCTTCTAAAAGTTTATAAAAGATGCAACCACGTGCGATCACAAACATAACAACGACAAAGATAATTAATGAATCACACTTCTCCATCTTTAGCAAATAGATCATTGTTTCATCGATACACGTCACGACAAGAACTTCGGTTTAAGTTAAACAAAAGTAATAAGAAACAAAGGGTGCAACCACGTGAGATCAAAAACATAAAAGCGACAAAGATCATTAATGAACCAGACGCCTCCATCTTAGGCACATAGATCATTGATACACATTACGACAGGAACTTCGAGCAAGTCAAACAAAAGTAATACAGACATGCTCTTCAACCTGGAAACAGGAATCACTTTGCTACTAATCTCCAAACAAAAACTTGTTAGCAAGCAAGTCAAGTGAAAGCTTAACTTTTTGCCATCTATATGATCCCAGAATAAATGTCAACACAACTAACCAACAACAACAAATGGCTATATGGATCCTCTAGCTAAATTCTACTCTACTTAGACCCATTTCCTTCCACAACTCAGCAATTTCTCTTTTTTCCTGTCATATAAATCCAACCACACATAGCAGATTCAATCAAATCCACCGCTTTAGGTTTAGACCATACATATACCTGTGAGTACACATACATAACACAAACACAAACATACAAATCGACCGATTTCAGATAGCTATCAGCACACCCAAACAAGTATGTAACTCAAAAAACACAAAAAGATGGAAACTTTGAAGACTTACACACGAGTAACTTGATTATCTCCGTTGCAAGTGACATGAAACCAGGTACAAGGGTTAACAAGATTTGGATCCCAGCTCTGTAACACGTTACCCGGGTCAGATAAGCTCCGGCGGAGGGCGTACAAAGCATCCCCTTCTGAATTCCCCTTTACAGCCACAGCTACAGCAAGAACAACTGCCAACAAACCCCATAACTTCAAGAACAAACTCTGGGTTTTGAACACAGCTTCCATGGTTATTAATACTCAAAAATCAAAGAAAATTTATGGGTTTTGCTTAGAATTTTATGGAGAATTTTTTTTGGAGAAGAAGAAGGAAGAAATATAGAGGAAAGTAGGAGTAAAAAGGTTGGATTTTGGGAATGACAACAGGTGGTGAGTGTTTTAGGGAATCTTTTCTACTTTCCACTTAACCTTTGTGTATTTATTAGTAAAACTAACTCTATATTCTTCTACTATACTTTTTGTTTCACTCAATTTACAAAATGTGTTGTATTGGCATGAATATATTATAAAGGTTTTTTTAATTTAATGTCGTAAAAATATATTCGGTGTAATTTTATATGCAGGAAGTGAATAGGATAAAGTGTATGTTTGGTGGTAGTATTTGGACCTTCGTTATTGCTAGGAGTATTAGTGTTGTGCTTCAAATGTTACTTTTGTTTTCTGTGTACGTTGTGTAGTTGTCAATCTTCATTTCATATTGTTTCGTTATTGTGTTGTTCTTATTGGATTTCTTTTTTCAAACAATTTGGAAATGTTTTATTTTAAGTCGAGAGATTGTTAGCTTCAGAAAATCGTCTGTCACACTGAGAGTTGGTCATGTTCGAAGTTGTTACCAACGTTGGTACTATCAATTTATCCTCTATCCTAATTTGCAAGCGCTCTATTAATAAGATTATGTTCTCGATAAGCTTAAGATGTGCTTAATGTTCATGTTTTGTTTAATCACCCCCACCCCTTAAATACTTATGGTTTAACTCTACCATTTGTGACGTTCGATGTTGTCAACATCTCATACCTCGCTAGCTCACTGAGGTATCTTACACATGCTCAAATTTATCTCAGTCTCGCTCTCCTTATTTTGTCTATCACGAGAATCACTCATACCTTGTCTTAATATGCTCAATTGCTCGCACATTCACTTCAACATCTCCATCTTTTGAACAACGAGTTCTTGATTAACTAACATTTTTTCTCATACAACATAGTTGATCTAATTATTGCTCTATAAACTTACCTTTTAAGTTTTTTATTAATATTAAAACATAAAAGTTTAATTTAAATTGATTCTAATGTTTTCCTCCATAAATCTTTTAACCTTTTTTTTTTGTTCTCGTAATAAGTACATAATCGAATACAATTCATATTCCAAATATCAATTTTAAACTTTAGAATAACTTTTTTCAAACTTCAACCAAATTATTCAAACGTATATAAAACGATTCCATCACATTTCTTGTGCTTACAACAACAAAACAAAAAAAGGCTCCATAAGCACTACGTTATACTACTGTTTTTTATTTGAAAAAACAAAAAAAAAGCATTAGTTAGTGTTTTTGCTTTTTCTTTGATTAATTAGTGATTTAGGAAGACCAATTCATTATCTTTTTCCAAGTCAACTTTGATATTACAATACATAGTTTATGGTTCTTTCTAAATTGATGGTCCCATTTTCTTTAACGCGTATTTTACTAACATAAATTCAGTGGGCGTTTGGACATAAAAATTATGAAATTATTGTAAAATTAAGTTATATTTTAACATGAATATAAATTAGAATTACTTTTAAATTTTTTGTGAACTAACTTGAAAATTATGAAAATAACTTTTTGAAATTTTTCGATATAAAAACAATGTATGTATATTATATACGTGGCCAAACAATCATATATACATTTTAGGTCTAAATTGGAGGCCAACCCACAAGACTTGAGGGTCAACAAAGTATGTACCAAATTTCCATCATTAATATATATGGACTTGAATTTTGTTAGTTGGTAGGTTCCCTTCATGGAGTTATTTATTTTAAAAAATAATTAATTGATATTTGAAACTTTTTAGTAAGGTATGATATGTTTATATCTAATTTTTTTTTTATGAAATGACAATTTATGTATTATTATTGTAAAAAATTATTGATTCTACCAATTGGAACATTACATGAATGAAATATGTCCTCCATTAGAAGTTTTTCATTCCTAAGTTTGAACTTGAGGCGTTAGTTAAGATAAATCTCTTCATAATATCACATCTTTTGATAGTATTTTATTGAATTAACTGTAAATTTATTATCCAACTTATCGAGGGTTGTGTTCGGTAAGAAAAGTATTTTTTGTCAACTCTATATTAATATGAGTTGGAGATTATATTAATTAGGGAAAAGAGTTTGAAAAATATTTGAACTTTAGCCGAAATTGTTGTTACGATACCGAACTTTATGGAGGACGTTTTACCCCTAAACTATTTGATAGTATATTTTAAAGGTATATATGTGTCACGTGGACACATTACTATTTATAATAATGTAATATCTTTTACATCCACGTGAATATATATATACCTTATAAATATACTATTAAACAGCACAGGAATAAAAGTGTTCTTTTCAAAGTTTTGTTCCGTAACAATAATTTTGATCAAACTTTTTCCCCTATTGTTTATAAATGCATAATTATTATAACATTAATTCTACTAGTAACACTACACCTAACTGTCTCTACTGACTATGAATACGCCAAATGACCATCAAATTTTAAGTAGACTGACCCGCCCTATGCGTAGTTGAAAGACGCGTTTATATATTATATCGTGACAATCAATTTTTCGAGTAACTAAACTAACCCACCCTGTGCGCGGTCAAAAAACACGTTTATATATTATACCTAAAGATAAATTTGAAAAATATGATTTTTTTTCTATATATACGCAATGTAAGGAGGGGCATTTTTAAAACAAAACATAAAATACAAATCGATAAACAGAAAGCAGATGTGTAAGATGATTGACTACCGACTAAACAAATGTAGCAAATACACGTTAAAACGTGTTTGGTTAAATGACCAATTGACTACATTAATGTATAATACCAATTGCAACTTGTCTAAATAATTGACCGTTTACACTTTATACATAAAATTTCTTTTCGGAGTTTTTCAATTATTTAACCAAAATAGGAAGTGCTAAAACATTTTTACGAGACACACTGACTGACTCAATAGTATCAGTTTCGACACTTCAATCCAAACATATAACGACTTGTTTACAAAATTAGGTTCAACACCAAAAGGTTTTACTTGGCTAACACAATGTTTGGCTCTTGCTACACAGAGTCGGGATAAAGCATCCAAATCAAGGTAAAACAAAAGCAAAATCTCGAGTCCACGACGAAAAACAGAAGTCGGAAATATAGCTGGAGTGAGAGAAAGATAAGACTATGAAAGAGAACAATGGAAAGAAGAGATGTCATCTTCCATCGATTTCGGTCCTTTATCAATAGCATTGGGAAGAAAGGGTATGGAATTCAACCTTTAGGCTCTTCTATCTGCATAATCGTTGGAGTCATTGTCATCTCTGTAATTTTCACCTGCATCAACTGGGCTATTAACATCAGAAGCTTCTGCTTGGTTGCTGGTAGTGTCGTTGCCGAAGCTGAAGCTGTTGCTAGCAGCAGCATCAGTGCTTCCACTGGCATAGTTATCACCACTTGTGCCAAAGCCAAAATTGCTTTCTCCGCTTCCATAACTGCTGGCGATGTTAGCATCAACACCACCTGCGCTGCCATAATTGCCACTGCTACCATAACCAGAGGCACCATAATTGCCACCACCAGACCCATAATTGCCACCACCACCACCATAACCACCAGACCCATAATTGCCGCCGCCACCATAACCACCACCGCCTCCAAAGTTACCGCCACCGTAACCGCCACCGTATCCTCTTGTCCTGTCATTCGCTACATTTACTCTAATCCTACGACCATCAAGCTCCTGAAAGATGCATAGAAAAAGTTGTCATAATCCAACCAGCAAACAGAAATACATGGGATGCATACAGGCACATCCAAACGTAAACCCTCTCCCGTCCCCACAAACATACCTATCATTTGCTTATTTAAGCACAATATCTGGATAAAACCAGTGCCAGATACCATAAAAGAACATTCCTTTGAAGTTGGTTCACATGATGTGAACCCAAATAAAAAGGGAACACGGGTCTTTTCATTCATGGAGTAGCAGAGTGAAGAGATACCTGTCCGTCCAAAGCCTGGATGGCAGCACTGGCATCCTCAGAAGTATTGAAAGTAACGAAGCCAAATCCCCTAGATCTCCCAGACTCACGATCGTAAATGATTCTTGCTGCAATATGCATTGGAATTTTTTCAGTAATTCCAGATAGAACTAGTGCCCGGACACATGCCTTTGTATACAGATATGTCATATGTTCACACAGCTAAATATGAATGAGCAAGCATTCACGGAATACAGCTAGAACAAGTGCCCGGACACATGCCTTTGTGTACAGATATGTCATATGTTCACACAGCTAAATATGAATGAGCAAGCATTCACGGAATACAGCTAGAACAAGTGCCCGGACACATGCCTTTGTGTACAGATATGTCATATGTTCACACAGCTAAATATGAATGAGCAAGCATTCACGGAATACAGCTTCAAACAGTAAAAAATAGTGAAGTAACTCTTCCATTACTCTAAGTGACTTCACTTACTAAATCCAACCAGTAATACAACTACTTTTGATAAGTCCCAATCAGCAACACAATTGTCACTCCATCATTAAGACCCTCATTTGGACACAAAATGAGTGTGTCTTTCATCCTAACATAACATCTGGAAATTCATATTGAGAAATATCAACTAAAAAGTATTCCCTACTTTATCATATACTTTTCCTGACAATTACTCAAACTCTGCCCAGACAATCTTTATTATGTGCAAGTATAATCTCCATAATAACAAAAACATGCACTAGGGACCAGCGAATGTGATCATGAGAAAGCACACCAGCAGTGTCCAGTTTTAACCGCAAGGATTCTAAATGAAAATTCGTAAACTTAAACAAGTATGAGAAAGGATTTCTAGTAAAAAATAACATTTAGCTTTAAATTAGACAAACCTTCAACGACTTCTCCATACTTGCTGAAAGCTTCTTGGAGAGAGTTGTCATTCGTGTTCCATGAGATTCCTACATTGCCAAACTAGAGAAGGTCGGCAGAAAATCGAAGAAATGTAATGAATACTGTTCTAGCATAAGAGTAACTGCATGCACCTCCAACAAAAAGTTTTGAAGACATGCATCTAATAAGTTGAAAAATTGAAGGCTTGGATGCAGATATTTCGTGATTGATGTGCTGCTTGCTAACAGCCTGCCGAAGAATGCTCCCAGCTTTGTTAAAGAAAGCCATTCCTGAAAAGCGGAAGAACACCACATATCAGTTAATTAATGAAA